ATGTATATGTATGTTGGCGTATTTGACTGGGATTTAGTTTTCTTTAAACATTTCAAGTTCATTGCATTTCAAAATCAGTTGCAATTAACAACATTGAACTAATTTCGCTGTCAGGCAATTAAAATAGTTGTGGCCAAAGAGATTGAGAGACAGACTATGAATAGGAGCAGGAGTAATAGAGATTGTCTGCCACACACTAACCCAAAGTCTGTCTGTGGGGCAACACAGCCATCCGCAACAAGCATAGATAGGCAGGCAATCAGACGGACAGACAGACAGACAGGTTGTGCGGCAAATGGATTTACTTGCAACATACCAGTATATTATACATTTGCAACACTTGTCGCCGCACACGCCTTGACGCTTTGATGCTTTCTTATCGCATGCGTCGTCTGCACCGGCTGCAAGGCATGACGAAGCGGAAATTAACACACAATTATTTTACTCTGCGCTTTGGAGGTGCGCGCGCAGTCACATTATCATTGCCAGCCATTGCGACATGCAAATTTTGCCAGCTCAGCTAGGCGGCCCACTTCTTCGTCGGCTAAATGTAGTGCGCAACGGCTGCGCCTGCTGGCAGTCGTAACATCATTTCAATTTGGCAGCCCATCAGGCATGTCAAAATTTGCCGCCCCTGTTGCGTTTCCAGTCCAGTACCTCTCTCTCAAACTAGTGACAGACCCGCTCGATTCTTTCAAAGCAGCAGTTAGCGTAAATTTTCAATGCACAACATTTCTCGCGCATACAGTAAAAACGTTGTCTAGCTATAAAGTTGTCAGAATTGATAGTTTCAAGATTTTCTGACAGTTGCGTTGCGACGCGCCCCGTCGCGCAAGTTGTCCTCTTTCAAACGCGGTCACTACACAAGTTCACGTTCAGCCTGTCATGAGAGCGCGCTTTTGGCAAAACAGTTATTCATCTTTTTCTCTGCTGCTATCGTATGGGGTAGTGCGTTTGCGTTAATGTCTATTTCCCGACTTTTGCTGAATGCCTGCATTTAGTTCATAATTACCATAAATAGCAACTAATTTTTATTATAACGATGCGTTTAATGAAATTCTCAAGTTCCCCCAAGTTGAATTGCATACAAATGTTTTAGACGCGCGCTGATGGGATTTCGGAGTTGTTTGTTGCGCCGCGCCTGTGACACCAGACCGATTTTAATTAAATTAGTTTTGGGTTTTTTCTTTGCACTTCTTTCCTTTTAATACTTAATTGAATTGTTTGCGTTAAATGTGAAGAATCAGAGTGATCTTCTAGGAATATACACATACGTTTATATGAAGCGTTACATTTCAGCTAGGGTGCTGAGCGTAAATGTTATTGCCTCAATTATGTGAAGACATAATAATAGTTTTATGCGTTTACAAAAACACGAAATACGAACGTGTTGTGCTGTGTGTCAACTTACTGCCACATGAAAACAAAAACTTTAGTTTAAACCTGGAAAATGCTTAAAAGAAAGCATTGCATGGAGGACACTGAAAGAAGCCGCTATTCTTCAACTACCGATTATACCCAACTATTATGTTAATGTTCGAGTGCAAAGATTTATTTTAAGTATGCTGAAGAAAGTGGATTCTGAGTGCCATGCTTCAACAAAAAAATTAAACAGATTGCTATATGTATCGGCAACATTGTTGCGCAGCAGCACGCTTGGTGTCTTAAAAGTACAATAACAATAATTATTTTTACTAACACAAGTATCTACAAGTCCATTCACTGCCAATTTGGTGCAATTAATTACAGCCAAGAGACGACACTCTCTTCATGAGGCTCCTTATCTTATCGACTACACTCGCCTTCTTTAGGCAAATACAAAACCTTCAACAACAACATGACGACCAAACGCGCCACATACACTGGGCGCCAGCACAGGGAATTAAAGTACCAAACCACAACACTCAAAATGACACCATGCCAAATCAAAACAGACAAACAAATTAACCAAATAGAAGGCGTAAAATACTAAAATTAAGTGAGACAATACAAATAACATGTATTTGTATATATTGCTTATCGTAATGTTGTACTCAAAAGCCTGCGCTTGGGCGCTGCAAGTCACACAAGCCTTCGGTTTAAGCCATCAGTAAATAAATGAATCAGATGTGCTGCGTCTACGGCTTAACAACGCTTCAAGATGCCTAGCGCGCAAGTGTAGTGCCACAAAAGGTCGCTAAGCACTTGTTGCTCCAACCGATTACGCGCTGGTATCTATGTATTTTCTAATGAAAATGTTCACATTGCATAATTTAGTGCGCGTCTGGGTCCTGCCTAATTGATATGGCAGGAAAAATTTTTGTTTATGATTGTAGTGGCGGCGCACAGCGGTGATGCGACAGTGTTATCGCCATTGGTGGCATATTGAAGAGAACAAACCAAAACAAATCAAAAGAAACAAAAAAAGCGTGGCGACAGGATAACCGCGTTGAAGATAATGACTCGCAGTCCATTGGAAAGCAATTAATTTGTAGGCCAAATGGAAAACCCAATGCGGGAAGTGCGCTTAGCGTAAAGCGCGAGCTTCAGCGAGGGGAACACCCGCGGCGCGTTGAAAGCCGCAAAGCGGCACAGCTCTACGCGGTCGAAAGTTGGCATTAGCCGACGAATAGCATATAGCGCAAAGCGTTTGAGTGCATTTAGGGGCAATTATATGTCAATTTATGACAAAATTATGTAAATAGCGGCTGAGTAGTGTAGTTTTTGTGTTGCACTGAATTTCCACATTTCAATTTTATTGCAAGTGAGTATTAAAGTGTGCATGAATATCTTTTGCATGTGGCAACGGTACGTAAAATTATAAAAAAATAAAAATAAAAGAGCGAGTAATGCAGACATGAATTTAAAAAGATATATTTACTATTGAACTTTAACAGCGAAATATAGCTTAAGTCAACTTAAGATATTACAAAAAAAAATATAATAATAATCAAAATAAATAACAGCGCTAAAGAAGATTCAAAACATGTTGCTACACTTTCTTTTTAAGGATCAGTTTCACATCCTGTATAATTTAAAAAAATTATAAACTTCATATGTGTGTAGGTATGTACACACATGTGTACATGTCCTTAAGTCGACACACAAAACTGTTCGCATTGTTGGAGAAACGAAAATATCTATCAAATAACACGAAAAAGGCAACAACTGTCTCACTTGTCACTTTCAACTGGGTTATGTGGCGCCCGAATATATGTCAGTCAATTATCCTTTTGCGGCACATTTGAAAAACATAATGGGAAAGCGCATATACACACATAGACGCATGTATACATACTTGTAGATTTAGAGTCTAGAAGACACCCAAGCTGAGTTAGTCAACTGGCTATTTAAGTGAAGAGACACTTAGTCAACTGCAAATGAGAAACAAGTGCACCAACAGCGAATTGTCCTGCTTTCCAAAGCAACATATCCTTAACACACACAGATGTTGTAATAAATGCGAGCAGTTGAGCTGAAAGGGCTGAATATATTGTCACATTAAGTTGACACGCACAGCAGGACACCATTGTGGCGGACGAAGCCTGTTACGATTGCATGCAGAGAAAAATAAGGAATGACAGAAAATAAAAGATTCGATTTACTAATGCGCCGAAAGTGATGGATGAGGCATACACAGCTCATCATCTTAGTAAAGACCTCATTGTGTGATTGATATGGAAGTGTCTTGAATAGTTACGAATATTAGCGACTGTTGAAGATAAAACAGCTCAACTCGTTTTTAGGAAATTTTTATTTTAAATTTTTACATTTAAATAGTTAAATGTGACACCCCTAAAAAAGAGTTTTTTTGAGAATATAATATTTAAATAAATAATATAAAATTTACTGCATCAATTGGTTTAATTGGTGTATATAACAAATATATATTTTAAGAATAGATTTAGATCATGCAGAACATGCAAGGTTGAAAGGGATCGGACCATTTGTCTCCGAATAACCACTCAAGCAAGTTTGAAAAATGTAGTTTTGAATATAACTATGTGAGTGAGAAAAAAGAGAGAAAGTAGCTGATATGACTAAGTGGCTGCACTTAGAAGCCTGTAACGCAAAAACCATTTGAGATATCGTTTCAAAAGCTTAGTCTGTTATTTTTGAAGATTTAAACTATCGAAATATCGATACATTTTTTTTATTTTTTAGAGTCTTCGAACTTCTTCTGAAAATACATTTAAATAAATTCTGAATTGCACATGAAAATGTAAGTATGTATGTGCTGTCTTCTAAGCCTTGGTACGTCCTTTCAAATGCTTGAGAAGAGCAACAACAAAAGTTTTAGAAACAAAAACAATGCTGCTACACCACAATTCTACAGTCGAAAAATATAAAAAGCGGGCAGTTCATTGTTCATTTCATTATTGCAGTCGAATTTGTCATCTCCTTTATTGTGTGAAAAAATTAAGAGCATCTTTACTATGTCAAAAAAAATACAAGAAATTACAACAACAGCAGCACAAATGCAATGTGATCCCCTACAATAGGTCACGAATGCGTATTTTAATTTATGGCGACGATTTTACCTCAATCTTTTAACGGTTACACGATAACAAGGAGCGCAATAAATTATGAAGAAGGTGAAGAAAATAACGGAGGGGAAGAAATACAAAGAGCATGAAAGAGAAAAGTCCTTGTGTGCGACTTATTGCCATTAGAATTTGTCGCGGCAAAGCATTTGTATTTACACAAAAATTGATCTGTGAAAATTTGATGTCTTTTCAGCAGGACAATGCTATTCGAGCATAAAATTTAGTCTATTGATTGTAGATGAGCAAAGAAAGAAAAAAAAAATCAATTTAAAAGAAGTTAAATAATTGTTTTCAAAAGAATAGCCTCTATGCTATGCAAAGGCATAGAATCAAGGATGTAGCTATTTCCGTTTCCTTTTTCATAAACCTTTATAATTACATTTGATTTACATATATTTATGTGCTAAGCATGTATATAAGTATGGGAAGTTGTGCGCTTATTTGGATTATTTATTTATTTATTTTTAAACTTACCGAGCCATAAACAGCGCCACATGCATCCATGCACAAATACAGGCAGGTGGCAACGCCTTGGATTTTGATGCGTCCCACATCGACAGTCGAACGTTGCAGTATGGCTGAAAATATGACAAAGAGAAGAGGAAATTAATGTTATATAAAAAGTGCAAATTTTTACTAGAAACTTTGGGGTTGCTAGGAATATATAATACCTTTCAACTTGCATCATTTTATAATACTTTAATGAAAAAACACACACTGGACACATAATAATTAAAAATGAACATTTTTTTACATGAGTTGTATTATTGATATATATGAGTAGGAAATTGTAGATGATTAAAAATATGACTATGAGTAATGATCGAAACAGTCACCGACGCAAAACCGTAGACCGAACCAGCTGATACGACCTATCTTATGAGAGCGCAATGTAAATGAACACTCACCACCGCTTTTACCGTCCGCTTTTACAGACCGTACGGTAAGATATCCACAAAAATTGGATTTTTCCCGTAGAAGCGAGTGGCTGATTGCTTAATCGCAACGCGGGGTTGTCAGTCTCGATATTTTGTAGTAATTAAAAAATTAACTTGAATATATTTGAAATATTCTTAAACTAACTCAAAACCACAGTCAAATACAATTATTTATAAGTAGATAGACTATATTTAATAGTTGGATTTAAGTTTTGAGCTTTTATATAATGAAAAAGCATAACTAAAAAACTAAATGTGTGAAAAATCGTATATAGAAATTGAACAATGGCAAAATTGGTCAAATGAAAACAAAAAAGAACAACGTCAAAACCTCCTGAACTCAGGCAACTGTCAAAGTGGTCTGACGTTTAGCAATTGGAAAAAGCGGGACGGCCAGACATAAATTAGAAAGCAATGAAGATGAAAGAAAGTTCAAAAATCAATTGTTTTAATATATTACAAAATCACAAAAAAGGGTTTAAATAGCTTCTGCATATGTTTAACGGTTAATATGAATATAGATATGAATACGAATATGAGTAGTAATATTAATGTTAATGGGTATGAGTATGGTATGAGGTGAAAGTGAATTTTGTGTGCTAAGTGTATGACAGTAAGTAGACAAATGAGACTGACTATATCTATATGAGTATTAGTGGCAAATAGAATGAACGTAGCTTTATGTATATGAGTTTTTTATTTAAAATTTTCTGTTCAAATATTTCCACTCCATGCTCTAGCATGCAAACTGCTCTTTTCATTCTAAATACTTCAAAAGAACCACACTATAGTCAAAAAAAAACACCGATAAAACAGCTAGTCTATGGTCTTAACCATCGAATAGAAACATATTCCAATTTTCGTCTACTTATTTCAAATCTTTATCGTTTTTCGACACACACTTTTACTCATTACAGCCAAGCACTTTCGAGTATCGTTACTGAGCAACCTATGCTTACTGCTTCATTTCGTTTAGCCTTTAGGTGGGCCTAATTTGTTAACCGTTATAACTTATGGCTGAAAATGCCTAGCCAACTTAATTGACTGTTAATCGTAAATCGTAAATCTTAACCTAATGGCTTTGCTCATTAATACCAACAATTTCGACTGAGTTAATAAATGAAAAGACCGGAGATTTCAGCGCATTGCTTTTGTCGATAATTGTAAGTTTAATGAAAACTGCCAATTTAGTAAAGCCTTTAGCTAATACTTGCTATCGCAACTTGACGCGCATTGCTGCGAGAAGCAAGGTGTGTGGGGAAATGTAGACTTCTGTGTGGTCACACGAAGCTTAAGGGTATATAGCGGCAGCTAAGCAAATATGTAGGTAAAAAATTGTAATTTATTTGAGTAAAATTTTCGGTAATATACATAGACAAATTTTGATGTTATTTATGCGAAAAATGCATACAAAAAATATCCAAAAATAATTTTGAGTAAATATTTAACAATTAAAAAGATGTAGCCACGCGCTTGACTGACTGAAACCAGTTTTAATCTATTTACCAATTAATTTTTCGGTAATAAACATAAATATTTTACTATTTTGCGGCGCATTCATTGCCTTCGGCGAGTCGGACTAGCCTTATGTGAATGTGCAGAGCGACAATTTGGTTAGCTCCCGCAAGCAATTAATGCCTTAACCTTAACCAAGAGCAGGCTGGCAGTCAATGCTCACACGTTGAACTTGATTTTGTATAGAAGCTTTATGACATACTCAAAAACACACATACTAACACACATACACACTTACATGTATATATTTAGTTTCATTGAAAATTTTTACAAAAATTTGCTGATTTTGGACTTATAAAAAATATATGGAAATAAAATACTGAACAAACGCACTTGGCAACCAAACTGGATTTTGTAGACAACAATTTTTCGATTTTTCGCAATGATACCGAATTAAAAAAAAAATATTTAAAAAAGCCAAAAAACAAAAAATCGAAAAAAACTTAGTGGATCGAAAATGTCCCACTCGCCTAGCGTTAAGCTGAAGCTGATATATTACGTATGTTTGAAAATGACACAAACTGTGGCAGCAACTGAACTGCAAGATTAAAGTGGCTACTAGCGGTAATTGGCAATATTTTGACTGCTGTCAGTGGCATACAAATACCCAAACAAATGCATACGAACAATATTTGTATGTATGCGTCATTTTGTATGTATGTTTGTTGTGATCGTTGGCAATTTACCGTAATAACGTACGCGACAGCTATCGCCACCGTCGACTGTGCGCACGACGACGACAACGGAAGCGGCTGCAATGTGGCATGCAACCAGCTGTGCGCGCAACAAAAATTAATAGCTGCAATCGTAGACATTTGTTGGGCTTTTGGCGATATTTTTTAAGCTTTTTGCCTTCAAACCGGTTGCGACGCGTCAGCTGACCGTGGCGAATGCAGCGCAAGGAAACTTTGTTGGAAAAACGCAAAAAAAACATTACACGAGAAATAGCAAGCACAATGCACACACGAAAAAGCAATACACATGATAACGAGATTTACAGTTGGCAATTTGCTTCTGGTCCGCCCCGCTGAGAGTACGAGCAAAATGAACGAGTTGAATGCGGCGCGCCGACAGGCGGTAATTTTTTTTTTGTCCGCCACACTTTTGGTCTCGCCATTCTTTTTGCATTTTTTGTTGTTTGACATTTTGGGGCGTTTAAAAAGGCGCTGTCACAATTGCTAAAAAGCGAAATTTTGTGAAAAATCAGCAATTAATTTGAACGCCGATTGCAGGTGGAAAAGCAATGGGAAATCGCACATAACTGAAAATATATTGTATATTAGTTTGGCTTTGCAGTACCCGGCAGTCGTCATAAAAGTGTGCCAATCATTTATTTGCCGCTATGCCGCAACGCATGCGCACACTCATGTCGGCCGGCCGGTCGTGTGACTTTGAAGTCTGCTGATGACGCGGCTTAATGGTGATGAACTGTTGCCGCTGTTGCAGACTTCATAATGGAGTCGCAATCATTAGTCTTCTTGGCTGAGGCGCAAAAACTTGTCTGCCTGTCCACACACGCCGCCGTGCCGCTACTTGTCTCTTCTTCTCACGCATCGAAATAATTAACATGTTAATAACTTCTTCAAATTTATACACAATCGCGCTTTTGTTTGTATACACTTTGTTTCTGAAAATTGCAAAAACAACAATAAATGTATCCTGAACCGCGCGAAAACCGTCAAAGTCTGCGTATATGATCTTTGGCCCCGGTCTTCTTGCTGCTGCGTTGAAGCGGTTGTCAGTTATATTTCTTACCACTTCGACGCACTTCATGTAGTTTTTGGTTTGCATTGCGTTTGCCATACGTTTTAATTGGCAAAAGATTTCTTTTGTGCGGCGAAAATTAATTATAAAGCGTTGCCAACTTTGACACTCAAGCTGTATGTATTATGACGTTTGGCCGTATATTTGACCCAATTAAGTCAAATATGACTAAGTTGAGATAAGTGAGAAATCTTCTGAATTTTTATTTAATATTGCTAATTAATACCGTATTATTTATTGTAAGTGTTCATGTTAGTATTATAGATAACGCTGAAAAGTTTTTAGATCTTTATTGTTAGGAAAAATAAGTGGCAACTATAACTAAAAAAATTGCTATTTTATAGTTACATATAAAAATATAATATATGAACTGAAATATTGCTGTGAAATGCAGCTCGCAATAGTTTGCCAAGGCAGCAAAATAACTATTTTCTAATAAATATATACAAAGATGCGACAACCCTAAGCATACACAATCAAGCACAATACGAATCTGATATGAGCTGAAGCAGTATCTGCATTTTATTCTATTTAAGAAAACATTTTTAGAATTCTCCAAAAAAAGGATAGATTTATTTTGCATTGCTTTAAGTTGCAAATTTTGAAAATTACAAAAAATAATTACAACTAAAATATTGTACATACATACACACATACACGTCGGCTAAAAAGTTAATTTTCACGCAGCGTTCGTGCAACATTTATCTGCCCCCTAGCCATTTAACATGCCCCAACTAAAAAAAAAACACATATTTCCTGCACAACACATTTATCTTGTTGGTTAATTTGAGATATGACAGCAAATGCACGCCTGAGCATTTTTATAGCGTCACTTTGCTACTTGCAGCGTCATAAATTTCCTTTTTAGCAAGTGTCGCCGCAGCTCCGCACGTTACTTACTTTAGAGCAGTGTAGCTGCCAGGTAGCCGTGCTGGAGACAAGCGAAAGACACGCAACAATAGCTGCTTACTAACACACTTTTTTTACATTTCGCTGTACGCGGCAAGAGTGTGAAAATTAAAGTGAAAAACTGTTGGAAAATGTGGGATGTGGGTGTTTGACGCGCTGTGAAAGGAAAACTCAGATGAAATTGCTTTAATATAGCTGGAGGGGTGAAATGGCATATATGGTACATATGTACGTATGTATATGTATATATTTATATATATATTAAGTATATGCATATTTTGGCAGCGATTATTTGTTATTCTTCAGCTGTCAGAGCTAATTTTTTAATTAAGTGTGTAGATTCGTGCTTTTACACATTGTTCATTAATCAATTAATTAATTACAGATTTGTGGCATTTTTTTTTTTAATATTCCTTATACACATGTTTACGCAGTTTGTCAATCTATTGGCG